GGTGGGGCGGGTGGCACCACACAAACGCGCTAGTGCATGCCTCATTTGCGCCGCGCGCCGCATCATCACCAGCGGGTGCGCCGCATAGTCCCTCTGGCCCGACCACTACTTGTCTCCGCTTGAAGACAGTTAAACATGCAACATGTGCAGAAAAAAAAAGGCAATGAAAAATGCTCACAGAAAGTTGCAGAGGGTCTACTAGGAAGTGTGGAAATTTTGATGAGAAAGGAGAGGGGTGGAGGGAGAAGGGTGGGACGGGAGTCTAGAGGAAACCCATAAATACATACAGTACGGGACGAGGCGGACTGCTGCTGGCTGTGTGTGATCTGGGCGGCTCTAGCATCCGAACGGGTTGTAAAACCGAGGAGCAGGCGCCGTGCAGTGCAGCGCATTGGTGCCATGCAGCACAAGGGCTTCCGGGCCGGCTGGGGCGGGGGCAAGGAGGCTCGCCACATGCGTCTCAAAGGGGCCGCACTCCTGTCCAGCTCGGCGCCATCAAAACCCTTCGGTACGGCAAGGTGGGCTATCGTGAGCGAGAGGGCCGATCCACAAAAATGGCTCATGGTTGGTCGGGTTCCGGATGATTTTATCGGACAGGACTTGTTCCGAGCCAACCTCGCCCGAAACCGCCCCCACTCAAAATCAGGCAGAGCCACCTTCGCCCCTAGAGGGGAAGGAACAGTGGCTCGCTGTGGCGGCATCGACGCCCTTGAGGGGTGCATGTCTTCAGGCCGTCAGATCCATGTTGAAGATGTCTCTCCTAGTATCCAGGGCATGCATGAATGGCGTGGAAAGGGGTAGGGGGGGGGGAGCATGACTGGCCCCGCCGCCGGTCCGACTGGGCTGACGGAACTCGCGGAGCGAGGCTGGGTCGAGGGTCGAGGATGAAAAGATTCGTGGGAGTGGGGTGGCGGGGCTGGCGCGGGCCAGGTCGGCGGCTCAGAAGGGTGCGGCGCACCGGAGCAGGGGTGGAAAGCATGACCGAACCAGCTTAGCAACACAATCTCTCGCCAAACGGCAAGCCGAGCAGGCAAGTCAACCCCTAAGGATTGCGAGTCTATACGCCAGCTTGAGGGGGGTGGTCGGGCGGGACTCGGTCAGGGAAGAGGGATATGGAGGG